CCAAAGATCTACAGGGTGCTAATACCTTCCCCTTGCATAACCAAACCCATATATCTAAATCTCTCTTTTATTTTGTTTTCAAAAGATTTGTGGGTTTTTTCGACCTTTTCCCTTTGAAAAAAATAAAGTTATGTGGCGACTCTTACTTTTTGCTAAGTTAAGTTAATCAATACTTTAATCTCAATTTTCCCACCGCGGCGGCAAGGGAAGCAATACAAGAGTAAATTCAGCAAGTATGCAGGTTATAGAATCAGACGTCACCTTAAGGTGGTGTATTCTGATGTGTATGGGTCAATGCAAGTTAGTTTGTGTGGTGGCAATAGGTACCTAATCAAGATAAAGGACAGACCTAATCAAGATAAAGGATGATGTATTTGAAGTGTTCAAGAAGTTTAAATCCTTGGTTGAGAGGCAAAGTAGTCACAAGCTTAAAGTTATAAAAATGGATGGTAAAGGCCAGTATGTCTCAAATGACTTTGGGAAATATTGTGATGAAGAGGAGATAGTACATGAGGTAACGCCACCTTATACACCACAATAAAACCATGTTGCCGATAGGAAAATTGATCGATTATGAACATGATAAGAAGTATGTTAAAATGGAAGAACTTTCAAAAAGAGATACCGGGAGAAGCGGTTTCCATAACTGCCTAGTTATTGAATAAGTGTCCTACAAAGAATCTTGAGAAGATAACTCCAAAAGAGACATGGTCTAGATTCACGCCAAATATAAACCATTTGAGAGTTTTTGGTTTAGTGGCATATCAACATGTTCCAGGTCAACTTAGAAATAAGTTGGATGACAAAGGTGAGAAGATGATACTTGTTGTGTATCACCCTACTTGAGGTTACAAGTTGTTTGATGTTGAAAACAGGAGGATCATGATCAGATAGGACATCATAATCAATGAATTGAAGCATGTCGAGTAGCCTATAACTGATTACCAGTGGACGTTAATTGGTTACACGCAGGCGTAAACCAGTTATAGGAAAGCAGTAACCAATTACACATACGATTTTCTAGATTTTGGCAAAACTGAAAGTGCTGAACAACCACACATCAAATCCAGAGTAGAGGAAAATGTTAGACTACCAACTAGGAAAAGAGGTTTGCCTCAAAGACTCCAAAATTGTGATATATTCTGGGATAACGAGATCAATGATGATGGTGATTTCGTCCATTTTGCACTTATGGTCAAATCCAACCCCGTTAACACTGAAGAGGCCTTGAGCGATCCAAAGTGGGTTTGTGAAATAAAAGAGTAGTTGGAATCGATTAAGAATAATAGTACTTGGGAGTTGGTTAATCTATGGAAAGATAAGAATCCAATTGGTGTAATATGGTTCTATAAGGTGAAGGCAAATCTCAAAGGTTAAATAATCAAGCATAAGGCTCGATTAGTTGCGAAGGGATTTTTGCAAAAAGAAGCCATATACTTTGATGAGGTATTTGCACCTGTTGTTAGGATAGAAACCATAAGGCTAATTGTCGGTATTATGAATAGAAACAATTGGTTCATCTATCAAATGGATGTGAATTTCGTGTTTTTGAAAGGGCGATTGAGGAAGAAGTGTATGTCGAATAAACCCCTGGTTTTGTTGTGAAGAATAAAGAGGGTAAATTCTACAAGTTGAGAAAAGCGCTATAAGGTTTGAAGCAAGCTCTGAGAGCTTGGAACAAACGAATAGATGGTTTTCTAGTTGTGTTGGCTTCAAGAAATGTGTGTCCGAGCATGGAGTTTATGTGAAGATAGATGCAAGTGAAGATGTGATCTTACTTTGTCTATATATGAACGATTTGTTGATCATGGAAAACAATGATAAGAGTATTTCTAAGTTCAAGAGCGAGCTTATGAAATAATTTGAAATGAGCGACCTTGACATTATAACATACTTCTTTGGCATAGAGTTCCACAAGTAAAAAAAAGGACTACTTATGTATCAAAAGAGATACACCCTTGAGATATTGAAGAGGAGTGATATGGAATATTGTAATGCTTCCCTTACACCAGTTGAAGCAAGGTTGCAACTGTTCAAAAGTGAAGAGGAGCAGAACATGGATCCAACTCAATATAAAAGATTAATTGAATTATTATGTCACTTGTGCAATACGCGACCAGATTTGGCATTTAGTATCAGTATTATATGTAAATTCATGGAGAGACTGAAGGTGTCTCACTTGGAAATAGTCAAGATAATTCTGAGATACGTCAAATGGTCTATTAGTTCTAGAATCATCTTTTCCGCAGTGGATACAAGAAAATGCACTTCACTCAATTTTACTGATTCCAATTGATGTAGAAATAAAGATGATCGTAAGTCTACAGTCAGATACATCTTTATGTTCAGAGGAGAATCAATCTCATAATATTATAAAAAGGAATCGGTAGTTGCACTCTTGTCTTATGAGGCCGAGTATATTTTTGTTTTCTTATGTGCATGCCAAGTCGTATGACTAATGAATCTATTGAAAGAGTTGGACATCAATGAGGATGAGACTGTCATACTCATGATTGATAATATTTCAACCATTAATCTTGCTAAGAACTCAATTACACACGGGAGAAGCAAGTACATTGAGATGAAGTTTCACTACTTGAGAGAGCTTGTGAGTGAAGGCAAGTTAAGATTGTAATATTGTAAAAGTGAAGACCAAGTTATTGATTTGTTGACTAAGCGAGTCATAAATAATGTGTTCAAGAGGTTGAAGATGAGCATGGGTATAGAAAACTTGAAGCACTTGAATTAAGGTTGTATGTTGAATAAAATTTTCATAATTCAAGTGTTGTAACCGTTTAATACGGGATAATAATCAGTTACAGGATGGAGAAAAGCACTTATGCGGAAGAGAAAAATTATTTTTAAGTTATGGTAACCGATTATACAAACGTGTTAACGGGTTACACCTGTACTGCTTTTATTTTTTTTCGTTTCAGTGATAATCAGTTAACAATTTGTATTAACCCGTTATCAACCCGACTTTTTTAGCTTTTTAGGTTATTTAGCTGTTTGTTTTTGTTCCCAATTGTTGGATATCACTTATATAAATATCTTGGAGACATTTCATCTTAAAATCTCAAACACTATCTCTCTGATTCTCTTCTTCTCTCACTGTCTTCTTCAAAATCACAAAATCTCTATTAATGTACCAGTTGTGTAAGTGTTCTAACAAAGAAGTGTCACCACTTATCAAATCCAACAACACAATGTGAGAGAGAATTGAAATTGAATAACATAACATCAAGTAAAAGTGAAAGAGCTAAGGTTGCGAGTGAGAGACATTGGAGTTAGGATTGCAAGTGATAAGAAAATAGACAAAGGTGTGAGAGAACAAATGGGTTTATGGTGCTTTGGAAATTTTTAAAACATTACTAAATGGGAGATAGAAAAGACTTTGCCTTGTTATATTAACTGACATTTCAAATGTTATCTTTCCAATATAGCGCGTCTAAAAATTATGTTTCACACGCTCTTTTGAATTTTATTGAATAAAGTAATGAATATGCACGAAAGACAACTTTCAAACAGATATTTTTTTGAACTTTCATAAAATTTGTAAAAAAATTAGAGTATAATAAATAATATATATTGGATTTGGACTTTGATTTAGACTTTTACTTAGAGATGTTAACATAGCTGAAAATATACGAGGATGTTTCCCCATTCTCTGTCTCACTCTTCAATATTTTCTCCATCTCCATCTTCGATCTCTGTCACGGAGAAATATTTATCTTCATTCCTATTCCCATGGAGAATCGGAGATTCACATAGACTGAACTTTAATAAATTTTTTTTAATATTTTTTAATCAAAACTAGAACACTAATATTTTATTATTTTTTCTTTATTTTTTTAAGAATCATGTATTTTACATCTTTATTTTTTTTAAATAAAAATACATCTTACATCAATAAAAAATGCAAAAACACTTGTTACGAAAACATAATCACTAACTTACTAATTGAATGAAAAATAGATTATTAATTAAAATATAGTGAAATTGAAGAGTAATTATCATAAACATAATGAACAAATGAGAATAATTGTTGTAATAATGACGAGAACACAAGAGATGAGAAATGGAAGAGACAAAGAGAAAAAAAAAAAAGAGAAGACGATATATATATATATATATATATATATATATATATATATATATATATATATATATATATATATATATATATATATATATATATATATATATATATATATATATATATATATATATATATATATATATATATATATATATATATATATATATATATATATATATATATATATATATATATATATTATAAATAATTTATGCATTTTTTTGAGTTGGATACTTAATAATGAAACAATATATTATACAACAAAATAAAAATAAATAAAATAATTCACTAATAATTCTTTATTTTCTAATATACTAATTATTAATTATTTTACTATAAAAAACATACATAATTACATAATTATATGTTATATATAAAAGTTAACTAATATGATCGGAATCGGAGAATCCAGAGAATATTTCCCTGATTTCCACCTCAAAATGTCATCGATAAAACTTTTCCCTCAATTTCCATTTTCAAAGAAGAAAAATCCTCAATTTCAAAACTCTCCATGGAGATATCCGTTAATAAATACAAATTGACATTCTTATTTTCACCTAAATAAGTTTAAGAGGAACAAATAGTGGCCTTTCTCTAACTTGAAATAATAATTCTGTTAATAAATCAGTTATAATAAACGGTTACAATACAATATGTACTGCATTGATGGAAGAATATTTGTATTGGTCTTCACTTGTTTAAAGATCCAAAATTCAAGCCACCAAATACCAAGTCCCCAAGACTCCCCTTTTTGCCCTTCTCAAAATGTCACTCATTTCGCATTCTTACATAATCTACGCGAGGTACATTATAAATGAAACACCAAAATTTTCCACTCTATATATGTCAGCAAACACTGTTTTTCTTTCACATAAAATAAAACACTAGTGTCTGTTAGAGAATGAGTAATACCATAAAAATGTTACAACATTGGTTACTACTACTTCTACTACCCATCTTTCTCCACTGTTTTCCTATACTGATCCAAGGATCAAATCAACATGAAAGAGAGGTATACACTAATGAAAGAGTTTAACGCATAAACTCATCACTACTGTTGAAAAGAATTATTGTTATAAGCATGGTTTTAAAATACCGTTGCAGATATGGTTATTGTGACGGTTACAATGCAAATTGATGCCGTTGCGGCTTAAATTTACTTTTTTTTAACGCGCTATATATTTATCATATGATTCCCATATCTTTTGTGCACAATACATTGCAATTGTAATCCGATGCGATTGCGGAGATTACAGCGTCCTCAATATTAACTTATGCTTGTTCTTACCCTCTTAATGATTGATATGAATTTTGTGACTAATAAACAGCCATATATTGTATACATGGGAGCACTACCAGCTGCAAGAACCTATACTACTATGGAACTACACCACCATAACATGTTGGAGGCTGCCATTGGAAAGTAATAATTCTCAAATCCAGATACATTTTATAACCTACATTAGTTAATAATAGATAAGAATAAAGATATTTATAAAGAAATTTATAGAGATGTTTAATCTATAAAACACTTATACAAACTCAGACACCACAAACACCCGACACTTCATCATCATAAGTGATTGTTGTTTTACGTATTCCTGCAGCAAGCAGTTAGCTAGAGAATCCAAAATACATAGCTATGGAAAGAGCTTCAATGGATTCGTTGCACGACTTTTGCCACATGAAGCACAGAAATTGCAAGGTACCCGGACAGAACATTTAGTTGATTCAGTTGTCTCTTATATTTAGAACCGAAAGAGATGCATATTATTTAATTGAGTGCAGAGGAGGAGAATGTGGTATCTGTGTTCAGAAATACGTACCACAAACTACACACAACAAGGTCTTGGGATTTCATGGGAATGCCCCTGAAAGTGAAGAGAAACACCAATGTAGAAAGTCACATCATTGTGGGAGTTTTAGACACAGGTATATATAAATTAATTAACATTTCTTTGATGATTATAGTAAATAAATGATTAATTAACATTTCTTTGATGATTATAGTAAATAAGTGATGAAATACGTAAACAGGTATTTGGGTCGATTGTCCTAGTTTCAATGATGAGGGGTTAGGACCGCCCCCACGTAGATGGAAAGGGAAGTGTGAAATGGGAGCCAACTTCACTGGCTGCAACAAGTATTCTTCTACTTCTGTTACTATATATGCAACCCAAAGTTGAGATATTGCACTGCTTGCATTCGAGGTTGATTTGATTTAAACTTGTTTTCTTGCGCAGCAAGGTAATAGGAGCAAAATACTTCAACCTCGACCGAACTGGTCCACTCATCCCAAACCCGAGTCCTGTGGATGAACAGGGCCATGGGACGCACACGTCGTCGACAGTGGCTGGATCAGTGGTGAGGGGTGCGAGTTTTTACGGCATTGGCGAAGGCAATGCACGCGGGGGTGTCCCATCAGCACGCATAGCAATGTACAAGGTTTGTTGGAGTATTGGGTGCAGTGACATGGACATGCTTGCTGGTTTTGATGAAGCCATTGCTGATGGTGTCAACCTCATATCAGTGTCTATTGGTGGCCCCTCGCGTCAGTTTTTCTCTGACCCGATTGCTATCGGAGCCTTTCATGCTATGAGAAGAGGTGTTCTCACTGCTTGCTCTGCTGGAAATGACGGTCCTCGACCTGCGTCTGTTGAGAATGTTGCTCCTTGGATTTTGACTGTCGCTGCTTCCACGATTGATAGACAGTTTACAACACAAGTAGACTTTGGTGATGGAAAGAGTGTCACCGTAAGTAACTATAAGAACTAAAACCAAAAGACCTTTGTATATTTAAATCAAACAAACAAAAAGTTAACTCTGTTATGATGTTATAAATAGCTTGCTTATTTCGGTTTGTACTTTGTAGGGACTATCTATCAACACCTTTTCCCCTGAGAAAAAGATGTATCCCCTGACTAGTGGACTTCTTGCTGCCAACCTTAGTAGAGATGAGTACGGCAATCCTAGGTACTGTTATTATCCTTAATTTCTTGCTATATTTTATCAATTCTTGAGAAGATTGTGAAGGTTTGAAGTAATGGTGATGGTTATGATGCAGTGCTTGTGATCATGGGACTCTAAGCAAGAATAAGGTGATGGGAAGGATAGTGTATTGTGCTGGGGATTCGGGCAACCAGGACGTGATAATTAAGGAGTTAGGAGGAGCAGGAACCATTATAGGAGATGAAGAACAAGAAGGTGGCTCCTCCACCACAGTTATTGCAGGGGCAATTGTTGATATGAATACAGTAGGCAAAAACATTGAAGTATATATTAATTCAACAAAGTAAGCTCTCACTCTCCTTTTCACTATAACCTAACTGAGTTATCTGATAATTTTTGGAAAGTAAATTAACTAACCTGAAGAAATATCTGGCTGATTCCAAATTTAGAAATCCTCAAGCTGTGATATACAAATCAACAAGTACGAAATTCCCTGCTCCATATCTTGCTTCTTTTTCATCTAGAGGTCCACAATATATCAATCGTAACATCCTCAAGGTGATCGATTTTCTCTCTTGTTACTTACTCCCTTGTGTTGTTTCCATTTCATTTGTCTTCTAAACTGTCAACATTTTATGTGAAGCCTGACTTGGCTGCCCCGGGATTGGACATACTAGCTGCTTATTCCAAATTGCCATCAGTAACAGGGTATCAATTAGACATGCGTCACAATGTTTTTAATATAATATCAGGAACATCCATGGCTTGTCCACATGCAGCTGCAGCTGCTGCTTATGTTAAATCCTTTCATCCTGACTGGACTCCTGCAGCAATTAAATCTGCCCTCATGACCACTGGTAAGGCGAGCTGTATTTGACAATATCAACGATCATAAAGTGACTGTTTTTTATAACCATGATAAATTTTCAAAGTATATAACAAAATTTTCCTTTTCAAATCTAACTTTTTCATCTGTGATTCAGCAACTCCTATGAAAGTCAAAGCCAACGACAGTTTCACAGAACTGGGAATAGGCTCGGGACAGATTAGCCCGGTAAAAGCATTGCATCCTGGCCTAGTTTATGACATTAATATGAACTCCTATATTGCCTTCCTTTGCAAGGAAGGCTACAACCGCACAAACATTGGTATCCTGATTGGAATCAAGAGTTTCGATTGCTCCAGGGTCAAACCAGCAACAGGCACTGATGGAATCAACTACCCCACCATGCATATCCAGCTCCTGAGTGCCAGTTCTACAATTTCCGCAGTTTTTTACAGGACTGTAAGAAATGTAGGATATGGACAATCAACATACAAGGCTAAAGTCACAGCAGCTAAGGGTCTTTCTGTGGAGGTTATCCCAAATACATTGACGTTTACTCAGTTGCACCAAGAACTGTCATTTAAGGTTGTTCTGAACGGGCCTCCAATGCCGCCGGAGACACTGATATTATCTGCATTACTCGAATGGAATGACTCTAAACACAATGTTAGAAGTCCAATAGTTGTCGTTAGGCCACCATTGTGATACTAAAACCCGCATTGGACATATTTCATATCCTAGGAATTAAAAGTTCAGGAGGTTTATTCATATTGTGTACATCTAAGTCTGCTATTTGCATTAGCTTAATGAAAAAGAAATTTAGTCGCACAAATTATCAATTCATTTAGTACTAGTAATGAACAATAGCGCCTATCATTATCCTTGGCGCTAGAAGAAGTTGAAAACGTTGTAGGGTCAAAATTTTCCACAAACATGAAGAAGACGTTAAATCGTAAGAGAAAGCACAAGATGACAACCAAGCCCTTGTGTGCATGCACTAAAACCTGGTTATAACTACATTTTAAGCTGAATACCAACAATTTCTATTTCAGTTAAATGAAATTCTCAATTCTCGAGTAACAGTTAGAGTATATAATTTACAAAGATATCCTTATACAGCATATTGTACACTCAATTTATGGGATTAAACTACTCAAAAACATCCTAGAAAGTTGAAGAATCCGGATAGTAATAACTCCTAAATAAAAAAAGTTGTTCCACTTGATAATGGAAGTAAAGAAAGAGGCAAGATGATTTCAGAAAAGCCTAACTTTCCCGCTATCACTGCTATATACATGATTTGGAATTCAATACCCTTCCAAGGCTCGTAAGTGAATTCAGTCTCATGTACCCTCCTCAATTTTGCCAAACTTCTTTTCTATCAAAAATCATAAGCATTTGCCAAACTTCTTTTCTATCAAAAATCATAAGCAGGTGCAAAAGCTGATTATTGGTGAACCTTTGCACCTTTTGAACATTTAATCAAGTTTACGGAGAAATCAACACTCCATCCGGCGGTTTTGGTTACTTTTTAGTTTTGTTAGTTCCTTTCTCCTCTTTCGTGCCTCTGCCGCAGCAACTGCATTCACTAGATTTTTTCCTGAGCATATGAACTGTTCTTGTTTCTTTTCAAGTGAAGAAGCTGTGATACCAGAAGCTGTTGAAGATACCTTGGTGTTGGAAGCCAAATTTAACTGAAGCTCGGGTTCTTGCTTGACTACAGAAGCATGTCCATTACAATCAAATGCAGGTCTATGGAACTTTTCTGTATTGTGACATCTTTTTTTCTGCTCAATTCCATCCAAAGAAAAACACGGAGTGGTGTGACCAGGGTCACTACTAGATCTGGATTTGGTCCGTTCAGTAGGTTCTGTTTTCAAATTGATAGGTAGAGTGTCATGATAGTTCCCATTTCCTGCTCTGTTTAAGGATAAACTAGTACTGCATTGTTCATCTAGAGGAAGATTATCTTGTTTATCTTCTATGCAACTGGAAGCCGATGGCTGTCCATTTCCAATATCTGGAGGAGGGTATAACCAAGGACATGGAAACATGTACAATGGATTTTGTGTTTGATTGTCATTTATAGGGTTATCTCGCTTGTGAGGAGATTCAGACTCAGAAGAACATGGTACGTATACATGTGATGGAATGGCAATGGAGTTAAATGGTGTATGAACTTGATTAGAAGATTGAAAGATGGAGGGCCAAAATAATTGTCTAACCGGAAAATGGTTATAACGAAACCATGGACTATTACCAGACATAGGTGCTACCTCCGCCATAGATAACTCCTGCTCAATAGGAGTTTTCTCCACTTTCGTGTTTATTGACTTAGATACCTACAAACATAAGCAAATGTCAGTTTTCCTGTAATTTACTTTTGCTAACAAGAAGAGTTATACCATACTTATGGATTTCTTCCCTAGCTAAACATCTTACTTGTGCTTTTAAGAGCTTATTTGTAGTCTCTAAAGACTGATACTCTTTCAAAGCCAGCTCCTTCTTCTTTTCACCAGAAATGCCACAACATAGTGAATGATTAGAAATATATCAAATAGATGAAATTAAGTGAGAAGCGATAATATCTAAAATAGATGCACCATACAGATAAGCAAAGCAGGATAAAGCGGAAGAAAGTATAATAGGATGACAAAAAAAGTAGCTTCGCTATAAGAAGGAACAACTATTGAATAATAACTTACTCTCTTTAGGTTTTCATTTTCCAGCACTAACGAGGCAGCTTTTCTGCTTAACTCCTCACTCAGAGCCTGAAGCATTTTATAAAAAAGAAAAAAACTCTGCTCAATATTTGAATGAGAAATCAATCAGCCAGAATTAATAAATTGGTATATATTATAGGAAGTAATAGAAGGTTGATTACGCCATTTTTCTTGTACTGAAGTCCTAAACTTTTTTATGCAAAGGCTTATTACAAATTTACTTTTTCAGGTAAATAATTTGGGAATGAAGACTACGGTAATGATTATGTAAGCTTTTAAACTATGGATTTTAGAATATTTTGGTCTTTTGAGAATGCGTCTTTAAACTAGACAATATAGAAATGAAACTACTAATCTGAAAGTTTTGCTTTCATAGATTTTCCTACATAAAATACAGAATTAACACTTCCTTTACATGATATATATTTACTTTAAATATTATAAAAAAAAGGTAGACTATCATAATCTATAACCAGAGAAACTGTCAATTACAATAAAATTAAGCTTTTAAAAATAAGAGAGAACCAAACACAGCACTTGTTGCAAAGTGGGCACAGTGATACAGCCATTACCACACTTGGGTCAAAAACATGGTAGTATTAAGACACTTTAGATTTGCTGTCAAATTCTGCATTTTGGGATCTGGAGGACACATCAATTATTAAGACCAAATTCCTATGCTGGTTGCTTGACTCTTGATATAATCAAAATAGGACTTGTTGCTATTAACATGCACTTTGAAAAACTATATGCTTAACCGCATTGGCTTTGAAACACTATACAAACTATGTGGTTAAGAAAAAAGTATAGAAGACTTCTAGTCAAGAAAACACACCAAACATGTACTGGTGCAAATTTGGTTTAGATTTTGGACTGTCCATAAGCAAACCTAAAAATCGATGAACTTATACCAATATAAATACCTGCCTGCGGCGAATCGTCTGCCTAGCGGACTCTCTATTTGCCAATACCCTTCGTATCCTCCGTGCTTCTTTTTCTTCCTGAACAAGAAAACAGTAAATTACAAGTACCCCAAGGAATTGAAGAAAAAGAAACTTCACCCTCTCTTATACCTCTGTTAAATCACGTCTCGTCTTGTTGCAGTGATCAGTCTTGGATAAATCAGCATCCTGCTCCACCTTGATGTTTCTTAAGCACTCATTTTGCTTAAGAAAAATTATCAAGTTAGGTAAGTTTATATTTTTTTCTCCGCAAGCAACAAAGAGAAGACTATGTTCAGATGAATTAAAGATAAAACAAATACTAGTATTTACAACCGCTTAAATAGGTGTTTGTTCAAATTTAGCTTCATTACGTGCTATAGTGTATCTATTTAATAACATTTTGTGTATCAAGAGATCATATTACTCATCACGGACCCACACAAACTGGTAATCATCCACTTAAGGTAATCATCCAAAAAAAAATCAAAATCAATATTGTTGTCGTTTGGTGTGTGAAAATAATAAAATAATAAAAATAGTTTAAGTCAATTTTGGAAAACTAATATCTGAGGTGAAATGAAACTAATAATTTAAGTGGCATTTTTATGACGGGTATATGCATACCGTACTAGGCGGAGGAGGATCCGAGTGAGGAATCGTTGAGTCGAGGTTGAATCGGTTGGTGCAGGAGTTATCGGTGGAATGAGTGGTGTGGCGGCGCATTGGTAATCGCGCAAAGTAAGCTAGAGTCTCGGCCGCCTCAAACTCGTCGGACAGAGAGGGAGAGGGAGAGGAAGAGGAGGATGAAGAAGTAGGGGTAAGAGAAGAAGAAGCTGAAGCATAGCGTTTCTCTGATTCCATCTCGGATTTGAGAGCGAGAGTGAGGAGAGATATGGTATGTAACCGTCGTAACAGAAGAGAGAGAAGAGGAGAGTGGTTAGAGAAGGAAGCAATAGCATAGGTGATTGGTGAAGAAGGCCATGAGTGCCACGTGTAATGGTTGATGAAATGTTGACCAGTTTCGTAATAAGCAAACCATGTATCTTTGATTGCCACGTTTCGGGAATCATCCCCACGTAGCTGATTGGCCGCACTGCAAAAGTCGGCTTATTATTAAAGACATAAAAAACAATAACAGAATTAAATTTATTTATTGTGCAATTCTTTTTGGGTAGAAATGGGATATCGCAACTTCAACAGCAAAGTAAAAAAAATAGTACATTAACATAACCAACTTCACTGACCCAAATTATCAAACATCATAACCAGCAAAGATAGCTAAAATATATTGTTGCAACACCACACAACACCTTGACGTCAAGAATAAATCCTACGCTTTGAGACAACAATCCAGAACCAAAAGTATTGAAACTATCTAATAATTTAAATGCATGGTATAAGCTTTTTGAGAGTACTTTTGAGATTTCAACTTAAATATAAATTTCTGAAAACTGAAATTTAGATTTTATGGGTTGGTAATCGATCAATTCAATTTTGTCTTTTGTGGTTATCGTGAGCGTAACTGATTACAATATTTTACATAATCGGTTATATCTATGTTTCGAATTTTTAAATTATTTTTCAAATTGTTTTGTTTCCTAATTATTTTATATTGCCTTATATAAATATTCTCGTGTGTTCTAATATTAGAATAGTGAAAGTTAATGCAATATTTTTCTCCTCAATCTCAATTACTCTCTCTCATTTCTCTTATCTTTTCATTTCATCTTCTCCAATTAACACAAATTCTCCATTGATTCACAAGTAAAGCTTGTGTATGTTCTAACATTTGGCATCAAGAGTCCGATTCTAATCAATAATCAGATGAAAAGATGAATACGGTTTCCAATGATAAAGTTCCTACCAACCTGTCGATTCTTGATTCAAAGAATTATAACAAGTGGTCAAAACAAATGAAGGTTTTGTTTGTGTATCAAAATGTTCTTGAGGTGATCAAGAATGGAGTTACTCCACTTCAGGCAGAAGCTATAGATTCTCAGAAGGCTACATTTAAGGAAGAGAAGAACAAAAATTATAAGTCACTCTTCTTGATTCATTCTTGTGTCGTTGGTGACAACTTTGAAAAAGTTGATGATTGCGATTCGGCGAAGCAAGCTTGAGAGATCTTAGAAAAAGCTTATGCATGACTAATAAAGCAAAGGTAGTGAGGTTACAAACTCACAAGAGACAGTTCGAGTTGACTCAAATGGAAGAGAAGGAGACAATAAACGATTACATAACACGAATTACGCATTTGGTGAACTAAATTAAGTCTTGCGCATAAATTATCTTGGAGCAGATTGTTGTGTCAAAGATATTGCGTTCTTTAACGTCAAGATTTGACAATATAGTAGTGGTAATCGAAGAATCTAAGGACCTTTCGACGTTGAGAAAAGATGAGCTTCAAAGCTCTCTTGAGGCTCATGAACAAAGGATGGATGGATAGAGATATGACAAGGCTAAAACAGAGATTGCGTTGCAAGCACCGTTCAATGAGAAGAGTAAAAGATCAAAAGGAAAATGACATTTGAAAGAAAAGGAATTTTTTTTGAATTTTGATGCAGAAGAGTCACAAAGTTCGAAGGGTTCGATGGGGCAAAGGGGTGAGAGCGGCTCCAAAGGTAGTGGTTAAAGCAACTATAACAAGAAGATTGACAAGAGTAATGTGAAATGTTATAATTGTGATAGACTTGGTCATTTCGCAAGAGATTGCAATGTGAAATCAAGCGATGAGGCTAAGGTTTCTTGATAGGAGGTGGTTGAAGAAAACATGCTTCTAGGAATGTCAATGGGGTGAGGCGGGATTGGGGGATACATTCCCATCTCAATCCCTACCCTCAAATTTAATCCTCATCTTCATCTCGGGTACCTGCCACGGGCGGATTTTGTCCTCCATCCCCGTCCCCGCGAATCCCCATGGTTTTTGCAGAGATCTATAAACATAAATTTTTGTTTATTATTTTAAACTAAATCAATACAAAAAATTCAAAAACTAACCACAAGAAATTATAAACTAATCATCCACGATAAATATATTGTTTTAACAATATTTGATATTGAGATTCATGAACACCAAATTTTCAAACTTAAAAAAATTTAAAATAATCATTTAGATCTCTCTCTTTTACTAACATTACATATGTGTTTTACATTTGTTTATAAAACAAGTTATCTGAAATGACAAATAAACCTCCATAGAAATGTTAAACTATATATTAATTAATGATATTATAGTATTCTAGTGCGGGGCGGGGACTCAACGGGGCAGGGGATATGTTCGCCATCCCCATGCCCAAAGTGCCTTCGGGGAAACTTTGTTCCTCATCCTCATCCCCGCGGGGGAAAATTCCCCATCTTTGGAGCCCCAAACGAGGAATCCCCGCGGGGATCCCCACTAATGGGTGCAAGTCAATATTCCTACACGCTTCTGGTCATTATCACAGAGGAGAATTATGACAGTAATAATTTGTTGGACATCAACAATAGCCGCTACAAGTTGTTGGACATCAGCTGCAGCAGTTTGAGGAATGTTGCAGAAACATGTTCGAAGCAAAACATAATCGTAACGGTTCGAGATGAAGTCCAAGGAAGTGATGAGTGGTACTTGGGTTCTGGTTGTTCAACACACATGACAGGTAGAAATGATTGGTTTGTCAAAAACAATAAAGCCACGAAGAATAAGGTGAAATTAGCGGACAATACCACTTTAGCAGTCGACGGGGACGGTGATGTTTTGATCATGAGAAGAGATGGTGGTCATTTATGTTAGAACAAGTTTGGTTCTGATCATATCTCAGAGTTTTGATGATAACAATAAAATATATTTTGTATAATTGATACTCTGATGAGCATATTTCTTTGTTTCAGATAATGTTCTGACTGAAGTATTTTCTAAGGTGAAAATTAGTTTACGTGCTAAGCTGAATAAAAATGAAGAAGTTCTTTGATGAAAGAAATATTTATTTAGTGCAAGTTCTGACGCTGGATCTGATAAGAAGTAATTTAAATCATCCTCTAATCTTAGCAAGTTTCCATGCAAACTCTGTTCATAAGTATTTTGCAAGCAAGCTCTGATGAGAAGTTATTTGCAAGCAAATTCTGAAGGAAGATCTGAAGCAAGTTCTAAAAGATTAAAGAAGCAAACAATCTTGTCAAGTTTCAAAAAACAAGCTCTGACAGTGTCGTTTGTTCATTTAATGCAAAGACGGCTAAAACACTCAAGTGTCTCTATGCTAGTTCATTGAAAGAAACAATAATGCAAGCTAACACACAAACAGTAATTGCTCCTCACTTTTGAAGGCAGTAACAGTCGTTTTCCTCATGCTATAAATAGAAGATCATTTATTGCAAGCCAACTACCAAGACCAACGAACGTGAAAAATTATTCTGCTGCTCACAAATTATTTTGTTACAAACACTTCGTTATTTTCTCAAGTGCAAAACTTATCTTAGTGATAAATCACAGTTTGTGATATAGCTATCTAAGAAGAAATTTGTTTCACTATTGTAAAGATTTAATTCTTGTATTTGTTCCTTGAGAGACCAAGCTTGGTCAGATTTCTCAAGAAGGCTAGGACTAGTTTGAGTCTTAGTGGTGTTAGTCACTTGTAAGTTTACTTGTGTTTTGTATTGTTAGTCACAATAGTTTGGTTGTGTGATTGTAATCTGTTTGATTATAGTGAATTAAGTCCTTGTTGAGAAAGGCGAAATCACCTTGGCGGGTGGACTGGAGTAGTTTGAGTTCAAACGAACCAGGATAAAAATAATTGTGTCTTTCCATAATTGTTGAGCTAGTAAGAAAAAGAAAAAGGAAAAACTTATTCAACCCCCCCCCCCCCCTTCTAAGTGTTTTCTCACCCTTCAATTGGTATCAGAGCGTGACTCTAAGCGCAAACACTTAACAGTGTCAGAAAAAGATCCAGAAGGAAAACACTATGGCAACTGAACAAAACAATAATAACTACACCAAACCTCCTGTGTTTGATGGAGAAGATTTTGAATATTGGAAAGATAGACTAGAAAGTTTCTTTCTAGGTCATGATGCTGAATTATGGGATATGGTCTTAGATGGTTACACACATCCTATAGACTCAGAAGGAAACAAGATTGATAGAAAGAATATGGATAGACAACAAAAAGCAGATTTCAAAAATCACCACAGAGCTAGAAATATCTTTCTGAACAATATCTCTAAAATGGAATATGAAAAGATCACAAATAGAGATACAACACATGACATGTTTGAGTCTCTCAAAATGACTAATGAAGGAAATGCTCAAGTAAAAGAGACTAAAGCTCTGACTCTCATCCAGAAGTATGAAGCCTTCAAAATGGAAGAAAGTGAATTTATAGAAGCTATGTTCTCAAGGTTTCAAACTCTGATCGCTGGCCTAAGAGTTCTGAACAAAGGATACACCAAGGCAGACCACGTTAAGAAGATTATCAGAAGTTTACCCAGAAGATGGGCACCTATGGTTACTGCATTCAAAGTATCAAAAGGTTTGAACAATGTGTCTCTTGAAGAACTCACCAGCGCTTTAAGAAGTCATGAGATAGAACTTCATGAACACGAGCCTCAAAATAAAGGTAAGTCTGTTGCCCTTAAATCTATTAAAAAATGTGAAACTAACGCTTTTCAAACAGAAGAAGGAAACTCTAAAGAATCTGCATCAGAAGAAGATGAACTATCCTTGCTCTCCAGAAGGATCAACCAGATGTGGAAGCACAGACATAAGAAGTTCAGGAACTACAAGAGGTCAGAAGATAAACCAAAATCTTATGGACATAAGAAGTCAAATAGAAGAGATATAATCTTCTATGGATGTAAAGAACCAGGACACTACAAGAGTGATTGTCCAAAA